CGGACGTAAAATATGACTGAATTATTTTCTTTATGTATATGTTTATGCGGCTATGTAAGTTTGCATAGATATACCCTAAAGATCTAGCTTCGATCGCGTTACAGATTTTTATTTCTTATTGGTTGTGCTTTCACATATACGGCTCAATAAGTTTTTTTCTTTAATGTTATATATTTTTGTTATATTACAATCCAAGGATTTTCCATTTACGTAATAACGATATTCGGCACGATAAGGTAAACAAAACGAGGAAACAGCGTGTTTTACAGTGACATAGGGATGTTAACTGACGGATATACAGCACAGTCAGACTCATTACTCATTAGGATTTTAAATACGTGATTTTATCAATTTCTCAGTGCATAAGTCTGTATACGCCAACCGTGAGAACTTAATTTCACGACACTTCTTTGTTCGAATTGTTGCATCGCGTGCGAGAGTGCAAAACTGTTCGTTTGTACACGCTCCAAAAACGTGCGTTTTGAATCCCGTACAATATCGCGTGTGTGATGAGTACGCAATCTTCCTAATTATTAAACATGCAATTTTTATTTACTAATTAATTATTATATTAATTATAATGCTTGATTGCATTGACCGTAGGAGATATAATAACAAATTAAGATTTTTTCGTAAAAAGAATCAATATTTTTTTATGATATTGTTTAACGAGATATTTATCGAGATTAGAAATATATAACAAAGCGAATGTTTATCAAAATAATTTTAATATTTAATATGTGAGATAATAGTGCAACACCTTTGCTTAGATATAATGCAACAGTATATTGTAATGTTATAAATTAATGTTATATAATTAATAAATATAGATTTTTTTCACTTATATACCTATACTTGATCTTTGCGTACAAATCTATTACAAAGAGTTCAGTAAGTTTAGTTTCTTTCTCAATTCATATATTTATATGTTACGATACTGATGATTTCGATCGTCAGAACAAGCTTCCGAAATTTTATATAAGGTATCATTTCATTAAACGCTAAAACGCTCACGTGATATCAATTTTGACGCTAGCGTCTGATGCTATAGAAGTTGGATTTATCTCAATTTCCAGCGTCAGATGGCTCGGTTCAAGATTGAACGCTACATACATGACACTACACTCTTTTCATATATTTTCATTGTCTAACGTCAATTTTAATCATATAATCTATTTTGATGCTGAAAATGAGCGTCAAACGTCAGCATGAAAAAGCACTTTATTAAAGATCGACTGTCGCACACATGTACATACATGCATACACGCATGACAGAACGGCGCCTATTCACTCGACATACCGCCTCTGCTCTCTTCTCGTAAAAGTGAAAGCGCCACGTCGTAAGCGCGACAAGCGAAGGAGAAAATACGAGGTAAGGCTCACTCGGGCATCAGATGGAAGGCTGAACGTGGTGTCGAGTGTATTCCGCGAGCGTGGCAGATAATCTTCGATATCACGGGTAACTCATCGACTTTTTTCATCAGTTAAAAATCGAGTCGACCTCTCTTTATTGCAAATTTACTCGACGTTTTCTTTCTCAAAATTTCTTGATTCTCTCTGTGTTAATATCACTTAATATCAATATAAAACATTACATTATACTTCTATCAAATAAAATTAGATGGAAAGAATAAGACTGCAATGTGTAGAAACGTCAGGATACGTCAGTAAGTTCAATTCTAATAATTTTGAAATTATTTTATTTAATGAAATAAAATAAACTACATGTATTAAAAGGCTTTTTCGTTACCAACTCTTGTCCAAAAAAATTCGCGTAAAATATATTTTACATGCTGTCTGACACACACATAAGGAAAGGTACTAAAAGATCAATTACTCTTTTCTTCTAAAGGGACGCAGATGAAATAAACTCCCACACGCTTCGGACAATCGCGAAAGCAATCTTGTCATTGCTCTCAGCGATTCTCTAATCTGCCAGCATGACATTTATAAAAGTAGGAAGAAATTTTCGATTTATCTATGATGAAAGCGAGAAACGTACTCGATAATGTTCCTCGCCTTCGCATTCTTCGAATCCACTGCGAAATAAAAGTGAAGTCATTTTTAATGCTCAATTTCTTCATTTATAGATAACTTTATCCAGGAGATATCTTCCAAAATACAATAGAGATATTTCCTGGATAAAATTATTAGTAATTTATCTGAAAGTGAAGAAATTGTGCATAAGTATTATTATATATAATCTTTTTTCGTATTAGTATGACTTTCTTTGTTATTTTATAAAATTTATAAATTTTACAACATTATGTAATGAATAGAATTACATAATTTATGATAAAATGACGTGAGGTTTTACTGATGCAACGATTATTTCTCTTGTATATTACATGTTTGCACATACTATACACCTCATCTCGATATTTTAAAGCTTTCTCGAGACACAAGATATGCTATCTTTTGCACTTTCCATTTTACACGATTAATGAAATTATAAAAGTAACGGACGTCGAAGGCGTCACCCGTAGAGCGTTAATGCTGTTTATTTTTTATTATCCGCATCTGTACCATGGAAATGTGATATCGTTCACTGCAACGCAAGGAAACAGAGCCTCTGCAATAAAACCGGATTTCACACTGCACTGGAAATTACTTATCCGGATCGTGGCAATACTTGAGGAGACGTTAACTCGTAGACACAGAATTTTATTTACTTCTACTATCTTTCTCTCTGTCTCTCTTGCGCGCGCGCTATTCCTGTGCCCGCACATTGCGATAACGTCTGCTTCTATACTTAGCTGTTTTTGCAAACTGCACGCTTTCTCGACCGAAGGATCCATTTGATATTCATTAGCTGAAAAAGCATATTGTTACAATGGAGCTGAATTTATGGGTATGTACAGAGCGTATACGCATGAACACACACAGGGCCTGTGTGTATATTTTTTATTAAAAAAAAATCTTTAATTTCCACACCAAAAAAGTATACATATGATATTAAAATTTGAAAAAGTGATGTCCTAAAATAGAGGGAATTAAAATTTATTAAATAATTTGCCATAAAAATTCTCACGCTGCCATATTAAAATTTGAAAATAAAATTATTATTAACTCTTAGAATTATTGAATAATTATTAACCAATGTGATGCCATATTTTTATAGATTACTCTTATATAAATATATTAACTTTCCGAGACTTTGACTTATAACATTTGATTAATAGATTTATTAAAATAATCTCTGTTTTCATACAATATATTTCAAAATAGAAAACTATAAATCAAAAACATGATTCTGCTATTTTAAACAATACGCTATATGCATATTGTTTCTATGAAAAAGAGATATAGTAACACGTATTTGTCATCACCATTTATCAATGTGTGTCGAGCTAGTGATGCGAGATTAAAGACAAAACAGTTTTTTACGCAAACGACAAATTCTTCCGGTGACTAAAAGAAACGTCATGTTGGCGGAGTTCATTTCATCAGATAATTATATATGAGTAATGCAAACGATTACGGAATGTTGATTGCCTGACCCGAAGATGACGCAAATATGCAAGATGACATAAGGTTGCAACATTTCTTCCGGCTACTGTTGTCGAGGTCCTGAGAACGCTCTATCAAGGATGTATATTGTGAGAATCTAACGTAATATTAAAAAGCAGTAAGTTGGAATTTTTCACAAATGAAAATGGAGATTGAACATGCAGATTGAAAACATCTGTGTGAAATGCATAATTTAATTGATAATAGTATTATAATCGCACGCACGCATGAAGTATTCTTCATTGATTGACGCATCTTGGTATGTGTTCGGATTCCCACCCAGATGCTTCGTGGGTAACATGTCATCCTTATTTAACGTTCAGTAAACAACAAGGGTGAAGTGATATCTGAGTGACTCTCGAGTGGGAATCAAAACCCAGTACTGGATGTTAATCTCCTTTGAGAATCGTAACTAGAATTGAGGTGTAATTAGGATTGATTATATTCATGAAAAGGGTATTCTCATTTATAATTTATAAATAAATCTTTAAAAAATTGCGTAAAAGTTATTTTATAATAATATTACCTTTTATATTAAGTTTTAAATAGTAAAAATTGTTACCTAGTATTCATTCTTTACTTTAAAATTAAAAATTTTTCTGCTGAAATTCTATACCAATTTTTCATTAGATATTGAACGTCGTATGTCGGCTGTCGTACGCTATATGAATTTTATGGCTTTTCTACAATTATTACTTAAGTTTAAAGTCTTAAATCGTAAGAAATTAATCAATCACAGTCGAATATAAGCAGAATAATCGATTATAATTGATTACTTGCGATTTAAAATTTGATGCTTAGGTATTGGCTTATTGTAAAAAGACCGTACAGAATAAGAGCCTAACGAGTGCTCAGTGAATAGGGATTCTATATATGCACGTTTACCGATAGTTGCCGGTGTCGTTACGTAGCCTAGATATTTCGTATGGTAAAAAGCTTCGCAACGGCACATAATGATATCAAGAACTATCGGTTTAGTGTGTACGTATAGACCGGGCTTTCATACATAATGTTCCTATAAGTATAGGAAGACACTCATAGATCGAATTACTACCCCTTTACGTCATTCCAGGACGTAATTGGATTGCCACTCGGATGCTCCCCGAGTATCATGTCATCCTTATTTAACGTTCGTAACAAGGATAGCGAGTGATACTTGAGTGACAACTTAAGTGGAAATCTGAACCTATGCATGATGCATGTCTGAATCCAGCATGAGAGAATCGCCGCAGGATCACGTGTGGCACGTGCAACGATTACGCGTGCCACAAGTTAATAATTTCAAGCCCGTTGATGCGTCATATGTGAATGTGGAGTACTCGTGATAGTTAAGGATGGTGGGCGAGCGCGGTCTTAGATGGGAAAAACCGTCGTATAGCTCTTACATGGAGGGGGATGGTCGCGAAGAAAGGAGCGTAGATCCGTCGTGTACAACGGATCTGGAAATGCAGGGACACACCGCCGGTTCTCAGTCACAGTATCGCGTCCTCTCAGTCCGCCTCGACATCGACGCTGTTGATGACTGTGTTCCTCTTCCGTTTCTTTTCTTTCGCAGTCTCATCCGGTCCGCGAAAGTGGGTGATTTTCTCCTTTCTTTTTCTTTCTCTCTTCTTCTCGTCATTCATGAATTTTTATAAATGTCGCAATCTTGTACGCTTTTTCTTCATGAAGAATCTGTATCAATACATCTTGTTACTTGCATAAGAAGATAAGAAGATGTGTATATGGATTCTAGATTTCGATTACTTTGATCGAGAACTTTTTCGTGCAGTTATCGCAGTGGAGACTGAATGTATGTAATTAGGCGAGTTTTGTTGGAAAGTAAGGGAACGTTTTGATGCGGCAATAAAAGCGACGAAGAGGAAACTCGAGTATTGCAACCTCATGAAGCACCACCATGACCATGATATTGCGAACATGTCTTTGTCTCAATCTTTTGACGGTAGGATTTATGAGTGTGTAATATATATGCATAATCATGACTAATTTAAAGATACATATTAATATAACGCAGCACATTCAGTTGAGAAAAACTTAAGGAAGATTAATTAATCTGATATCGCAAAATAGTTTTATATTTCTTTCGTATCCGAGTATATGTATTATTATATATATCCTGATTAAGTTAGTAAGTGAATTTATAAATAAAATAATCAAGTAGGTAAATTTCACATAGACATGGATAAAAATATTTTCACGAGTGAAAATATTAATCTTTTTATGGATTTGCAAGTAATTAGCAAATTGACATTGACATTGGTATTCTACGTTGACGTCATTTCAAGATCCTCGAGTGAGTAAAATGCCAGTCGCGAACTGATGATTACTGTTTTTTAAGTCTTCTAATAGTAACTGGTAAATGAATTGGCGAAACAGTTGTGTTACATAATCTTGCTATTTTTATGATTATAATGTTGAAATACTATAATACTTACTTCGTAAAGCAATATTAACATTGATAACGAAATCAGATGTTTGCTAAAAAAAATAGACATTTGATATAATATTATAAAAACAAACTCAATTTTAATATAATGAGAATGCAAATTGAAGGAATGTATGCATTATTATTAGAAGTATAAATACTAGTTGACAAAACTATATTAAAAGACTTTTAAACCATCCAGATTGTCACAAAATAGGTGTAGTTTATTGCTTAATAGATAGAATCATTTTTCTTAATTTAACAATATAAGATCTTATATTTTCTTACACTTCTTTAATTAATATCTATTAACAATGAAAATTATAAAAAAAATTCATTCTTATTCTTTGACGGTATCTGGCAGATTTTGAAGAATTTAGGAAGATGAATATACACTTACGTATATACGAATAGAATAATTTACGAGGTTAGACTCGCATTCTATATATAACAATTACAGCTATAGATTATTACGAACTGAAGGTGTTTAAGTCTGTCACAGAAATGTTATTTTATGTATATTTAATGATGATGGCACGAAATAATTTACGTAATTGCATTTGCGTGTCAGTAAAGCCGTTGATTGTTCCGTACACTCATCGAATATAATTTATCAAGCATATATTCACGTCATCGTTCGATCGAAACTGACACCGGTATGATTTGTGGAAGGTGTTCATGAAAGTCGTTGCTGAGGATGCATTCGTGAAAGAGGCACCGGATCCTATTCCTGCTCCGGAGAGTTCGATGCACGAACGCGCAATACCGTGAAGATGGCGTGAATGGAAGTATAACAGAGGAGGACGTCTCTCTATAGTCAGATTCACTCAAAAGAATCCAATCAAAAAGGATTAGCTTTGTTTTCGAAGTAATTTGACTACACCGTAAATTGATAATTATTTATTGTACACTTTTGATACTATACGTTGGGTTTTAAGTATTATTTATTTAATATAAAACTTTTTTAAGGGAGAGAAAGAAATAGAGAGAGAGAGAGAGAGAGAGAAATAGTAATATCTATAAATATGTGACACAATGGAAAACAATAAATTGTTAATACTAATTTGTTTTTTTTTAGTTAAGGAAAGTGAAGAATTAAGTCAAGTCAAGGAATAAAAGAATGGATTTTCCTTATAATTTTCATTGCTAATGGATACTAATTAAAAGGCTGTGAGAAAATAAAATCTTAAATACTGATCTTACATATTAATTGCAATATAATTAGCATGACAAAATGTTGTTTTCTAATTGTAAGTATAATGATTTCTTAATGCAATAATTATAAAAAAAATATTCTTGTAGCGTGTATTCTCATTATTGTTAATTGTTCTTTATATATATATATATATATATATATATAGCGTGTTTTACAATACTATTTGATTAATTGGAATTAATTAATATTATTATTTAACGTTAGTATTTAAATAAACTGAATAATTAAAGGACTAATTAATAATTAAAGAACTAAATTCAATTGTGTGTGTGTTTCTAATTTCGCATAATCATTACTCAAGTAGTATCAGTCATTATGATAACAAAATGATGATTAAAAGTCAATTTTCAATCATTTCATTTATTGCTTAGATAAACAATCACACAAAATGGACATCTAATATAATATATCTTTGTGTTTGAATAGAAAAGTACGCATCGATCTTTAAGCGCTACAGAATATTAATATCGAGAAGCAATGTTGTGAAAGTAAAATAGTAACATGAAACAACTTTAGGTATCAAAGTGGCAGTTCTGTATGCACGAAGAGTTACTAAATCGAAAGGGAAGCATCTGGTATACAAAGTACTTGCGTTTGAAAAGAATTGGGAATAAAAACCGATCCTCGTGTCGTAAATATTGGAACGTAGTTACGCGAAGATAATTAATATAACGCGCGCTCTGAATATCAATTAGCACGTGTTCGTGCGAAGGCCATGACGTGTTCATGAAACGCCGACGCTCCTCAAATACCAAGTGAGATCGCAAACGAGATCGCGCATTTGTCACGTACCTTCTTCATGCAACACCATCTGCAATTATGATCCGTAATACCACGATTGTATGCAGCGTGGTTGGATCACCGCAAGATGCCACCGACGGTGATGCTAGCCTTCGCGTGCGGTATGTTACAATCCTCAGACATTACTTTAGTTTAGAGATGCAGATGGTTCATTTAGGCAATTATACGTATGTGTGTCAAGAAATATATACAATAAAATAGTATTTTAAATTTTAAATAATATTAAATAAAATGTTATACATATATTTAAAAATTAGTTCAGTAATTATATTCACAAACATAAAAGAAATAGCTTTTATTCTTGAAGAACAATACTGCATAATAGAGTAATAGATAAGAAATAAAAAGTACAGGATTCAAACTACAGCATTTTGCTACTTAATTAGCTTCTCCATTCATTTTATTTTTGTTACAAGTCTTATTCAAATACACACCATATGTATAATTATACTTATCTTGTATTATTCATGCTCTCAGCTAGGCATCGTGTATACAAGTTTCGAAAATTTAATGATTAAGCGATAAAAATGTGTGTCAACTTAATTGTTTAACAATAAGATGAATCTCATAAAACAATTGTGACCAAGGATCTTGTTAATTTCGTCTCTCTGTTAACTAATTACATCTACAATTAGCATAACAATATCCTTTTCGTGTAAACACCGAATTCTTTGTCGGCTACCAATGTCGCCAATTTCCCGAGCGCGCAATTTCATTATACTCCTAGATTATATCACGTGATCGGGCACGTGAGAACCGCGCGAAGCGTGGGTGTTTAATGAGAGAGGAGATCGCAAGAGAGGATGGAGAACGGCGGAAGCGAGCGAAAGGAGCCTCAGCGCGGCGGCTCCTGTGTAAAGGTGAAATCACCGTGACCGACGGGAGTTGACCGACGGACAATGGACGATGCAATGATAATTTAGTGAGTTAATCGCGTGGCTTGGACGACCTCGTACAAAACCGCCAGCCAAAACGATGGCTTTTCTTCGAGCGGATGGAAAATTGTTGCAAGGCGTAGTTATAAACACGTTAAGACTTCGAAGCTTCTGAGAATTATGCGTTATTATACGACGAGAATAAAATTTGTGTTGAATCCTTTTGATACATAACGCAATTTATTCCCTGCCTTGATTGATTATGGTACCAGCTTGGATTCGCAATTGTTATTTGCAAAATAACTCTTTTACTGTTGTAAAGTTCGAGCGAGAATACCCCATTGCCCTTGTCTTAAAATACTAAATTCTTGATTATACTACTTTCTCATGTGTGCGTTGAGTCTCTATACATTTAAAAAGAGAGAGTATTAGTTAATTTTTAGTTAACTTTAATTAATGTTTATCGAAACGATCGATTTTAATCTTGGCTTAAAATTACTGTGCACGATAATGAACAACACGTTATTATATTACACACATGAATATCATACATGTATTTTATATACGTTATTTTCTTACGAAATTCTGCATTTACATAACTGAGCAACCTCTTTCGATCAACGTCTTTCGTGTTGACTAAAAATGATTGATCCGAAGTACCCATCTTTCGCTTTAACGTCGTTAAAGAAAAATAGTGTTCGCTTGAGAGAAAATTAATATTTGTTTGTGTGTGCGAGCACTATATTCTGACAGAGATAGAAGGAGGAAAAGTGTCCATCGTTTCTCCAAAAAGTGGATTGTCAATATCAAAAAGAAAAATCTTTTAAACTATTTTAAAGTTATAGATATGAATGATATCATAGAGCTTACTTTTCGTAATGTCTCGTTATTAAACTGCAAGCTGTCTACACATATACAGACATATGACACGCATTTTCATCCACGTCTGTAAATGACGTTTTTATAATCAGCTTTATGTATATAGATAAAAAATGCTTAGATCTTTTACTGAACGTCTTTCATATGCAGAAACAAAGTCGCGTGGCCGATTTATTTCAAGGATATCAACTTAACATTGAGTCCAACTTTTACAATGCGATCATTTTTCAAGTCAAAGTGCCCTGCAGCAATAATATATAGTGAACCAGTTTCAAGGATACGGAGCAATCCGGAGTGTGAATTCTTGCTGGTAAAGAGATGCAGCAACATGATGAATATTAAGTGCATATGCGCTACATGTTAAGATACAAGGTCAGTACCTTGATCTTACGCCGTGCTACATAAAATAAAACTTGCTAAGTAATTCGTAGAGCTAAATCGCTTAATATTTAAGGGAAACTTAATCTCCCTAGTCTCAGTACGTAGCTCACATACAAATATCCTCGTTTCGCATCCTCGTTCTCATTTCAATTTTAATATTTTATATGTTGAGAAACCCATATTTAATGTTTCACATTTTTAGATCTTTCCAGAGAAAGACTTTTATGTGTAAATTTAACGAAGACATCTCGTTTTTTTTTATTCATACTTTTTTTTCCTACATGAATGTTACTTTCTTCATTTCTATAAACATTATTTCATAGAATATCTTTTGCTATGTATAAAGCCGATATATCGGTCTTACGCTCGGTTGGTCCAGCATCTCTTAATATGGACCGACGAGAGGCGTACCTCGTGATCTTGGTCAATCCCACGCAAAATTCGCAATAGAAGGGATATATATATCTCTTACGTGACCGCCGTGTTTGCACGCAATGGTATCCCGCTATAAAAGATATCACGATGGAAGTCATCGCATTCCTCGCGTGGTCGGGTCGAAATTATTGTGGTACATTGTAACACTATATTCTGGCTAAACAGCGACCACACTAATATATGTCCAGGTTGAGGACATTGCCTCATAAATAAAAATTCGTTATGTTCCAACTTTATTTTTTTACAGATTTTCTGTGCATTTCAAAAGCATGAGTAATCACGAATCATTGACCAGCTTACAAATCTTAAATTTTTTATGACAATAGAAAGAGCGGAACGTAATTTCATTAACGTATGCAAATCTCACGTGAATTCCAAACATACAAATAAGATTACAAATATAATACAGCGATTTTATGTAATATACGCGCGCATACATATACTATTATATTTTAATTACGTTTAAAAAATTTTGAATAGTACGAAAAAGGTTAAAATTATCAACACTATTAACATACTTATTAAAATATAATTGATAGATTTTTTCTTGAGATCAAAAGCCATAATTTATTGGTTATTACTATATAATATGTATAAAATTAGTTGCAAGGAGATTCCTTTTTACCTCATATACATATAACTGTCCTTGAACTCAATGAAAATAATAAAGAAAAATAAGATAAAATACAGCATATACTTTTGCGTGCAATATCTAACAGCATTTTCCCACAAAAGCCACAACCTCGACTATTCGTGTAATTGAAATTCAGACATTGCTTTAATGGTTGCAAAACTGTCTTTCCATCGAGATGGTGATATATATGCTAATAATTATTATAGTAAATAAGCAGAATCGCAAAAGTACAAAATACTATCGAGTGCGCTGTAAAAAATCTGGAGAAATAAAATATACTGTCTCGAGCTTGAACGGTTCAAAATCATGCTCTAAGCAGAACGTTGTCTTTGAGTCGTAACACCTTAAATGGAGTGATTACGACTGTTGAAACGGAATATGCGTCGCCGCGCCTACAAGTAACCGTATAGATCGTAAAGAAGAAAAGAGACGGGCCTCGTAGTCCGAGAAACGATGCTAATCATTTGCCGAGTAACACCCCACGTAGCTGGTCACGTTCCTTGTCATAGAATGTTCTTGCTATCAATCGACAATGAATTGAAATTTGTGTACGTGCTCGTAGATCGTCAATGTCTTGTTGATCGTAACTGGACTTTTAATGACAGTTGGTCAATATATCAGACAGTAGTTTTTTATGCTTTACGATAAAGAGGGAAGCCGGAAGGCAATTATTATATATTAAATTAATAATTATATTTAATGGTAGTAATATGTATATATTGGATATTCAATTCCTTTTTAATATTTTCAAGAAAAATTCTATTTTATCTTATTATTAAATTTCATATTTAAAACGATTTCTGTATGTATTATATTTTAAGATTAAAAATACAAAAAAAAAATAAGAAGCAAATTCATCTTCTAGGCATATTTAAATTTCAAATTAATTCTTTACTCACCTTTTTATTTATAACAGAGTTGTGATATTAATCGATTCAACATTTAAGATACATTGAACTGGTATTTTAGAATTCAAATAGAACTTAATAAGATATCCGTCAGATATCCTTCTTTCACATTATAGTTTTCATATTAAGCAGTAATTTATTAACGCGGTTGACGCGACGCGAAGAAACGATTTAAAATAAGTTTACAATTGCAGGCGTCAGTGCTGTGTTTAACAGCGGACGAGATTGAGGCCCAGAGAAGCGGTTGGAACTTAAATCCCAATACGCAGTATCACATTCAAACTGATGAAGGTCCAGAAAGATTTTTCCGCTTTCAAACATCGAACGGTCAATATAGGAAAGAGAAGAGATTGGCTGATGGTACAGTGATCGGCACTGAAGGCTGGCTAGACCCTCTTGGATATTTGCGACTGAAGGATTACATCGCGGACCACGAGGGATTTCGAATACTAAAGTAATCTCTCTGACTAATATTAGAATAAAATTAATATTCAAAACACGCCTAAATTAAAATTACTTATAGGAATAAGTAGTAATTAAGTACTCACCGTGATAGCAAGCTGGCGCCTTTTGACGTCAAAATGACAATAAAATGACGTAGCTTGCTACCGGGACAGTGATGAATATATATTGATTGCCGGAATCTTTTTAGATCCAAAATGGTTTATGTCGGTAAAGATCGACCTATTCAGGATGCGGTGGCGGAAGCAAAGAAGATTCCAGCGCAGACTGGAATCTTGGCCAGGCCCAAAAGGCCACCGAATCCTTTCAGGTAAAGGATTAATATCGAAAAATCAATTCATTATGTTATAATTAGACATCGATTTTTTTAGGCAAATATTTTTTGTGGACATGCACAAAGATGCAAATATACACAAATACGCAAAGATGCACAATATGCACAAATAAATATGCATTTTTAGAATGTTTTTTATAGTAATAAAAATGTCTATTTTGATATTACTTTCCAATCTGCTTTCTAAAAAATATGAAATTGCATAAGAGAGAGAGAGAGAGAGAGAGAGAGAGAACCGATGTCTAGTTATAATGTGTATAACTTATTAAAGAGGGAGGATTAAAATGTACATGTTGCAAATCAACCCCTTAAAAATGTATTAAAATTGATAAGAATGTTTAATTATTTATTACAGACGACCAGATTCTAACGCCATTGTGCCGCTGTCTGGCAACGACATTACTTCCGGTTATTACGCTCCGACGACTATCAGGCCTCGACCGATTTCGAGAAACAATTATTATTCGAGTCGATATCCTTCTGAACTTCAGAGCCTGGACGTTTATCATCGACCACATGCTACGTATTATCGCGAATCCGTAGCTCGACCACCGACTCAGATTCTCGAAGCTCCCTACGATCCTGCTATCGGAAGTTCCTCCCTCAAGCCAAGCTATCAATCGCCCATTTCTCGAAACGATTTCCCGTTGTATGACGGTACTCATACCACAGCGAATGGTTTCCAGTATTACTTAAGGAGGCAATATCATGAGGAAGAAAGAGAACCCGAAGGCAACAACGTCGGCTCTTTCGGTTACATCGACCCATTTGGTATCAGACGGGTAATTTATTATAAGACGGATCCGTTCTCCGGTGGATTCCTCCATAAAAAGAATAATCGATACGTCGGTTTCAATGCGACGCCATACGATCCACTTCCGCCTGATCTGTCCAGGACGCGGCTCTCGAGAGCCCTTCCGACGAGCGCTTCGTAACAGTTTCGTCATTATTCATTGCTTTGCCACGTTGTAGCATCATGTTTTATCGCGAAGAGTTCATCATCCAATACCGCGACGCTGGGTTTCGCCACGCTGGACGGCCTTGATTCGATTCAATGATCTCGACATCGAGACCATTTGTCGAATCAAACTGTCGTCTGTTATCGATGTTCTCTCAAGCAATCTTATTGATCGTGAATTTTCTAGTCAGGATGGAACCAACAGATACTGTTGAAAGGAGAAAGAACAATGATGAATAGGGATGATCTTGTAAATATAAAGATCATCTATATTCTAGAGATAAAAATTCTCCGGCAGGGATTCTCGATCACCAACGTTGCTTACACATACATATAATATATAGATATAACGTTTCTCAAAGTGCCACAACTAATATTCTTTTGATGTATATACGACTCCGTTGTGTCAGCATCGCCAACAATTCTTAATTTTATTCAAAATGATATAACATTATGAGGAACGAAGATCGATCGAACCAGGAGACTATCGAAATACAGCGGGTAAAAAGGTTCCAACGGAGAAGAGATAAGAATTGTGCGAGATTAACACAATGACTTTCGTCATCGAGGAGGCGGTGGCTTCCTGATTCGTCGTCCTGTCTTTGTTCTGCTATTATCGCGAGCAGATGATCGGATACCGCGAAGAAACAACGTTAGATGCCATGTTGGACTATAACTCAATTTTCAGGGAAGCGCGGTGGGATTTCCCTAAAGAAAAATTGTAGAACGCGTCGTCGGACAATGTTTGCGAACCTTTCCAGTTGCGTCACCAATCTCTACGAAACGTGCGAAGACTCGCGACTGCCATTGTCCTCACGTGTAAGCTTCTTTCAGTTGGTAGTAGTCTACCTTTTGCAGGGATATTTTAGAAAATATTTATTTCCATTTGAGATATAATCAAAATACATATACAGTTTTCTTTTTTAATAGTAAAAAATTTTCTTTATTTTTTAAATTGACTATTTAAATTATTGAAGTTTCTGCATTTTCTATAGCTTTTAGAGTAAGACTGTCAAGAAGTCTCACACACACCCTCACACTTTTCTCTATATGCTATATATCATATATAACTTATACAAGAACCATGTTCGAGCAGTAAAATGCTGCTTATGCTATTTCTTATATGTATTGCAATTCGAACTAAAAGTTTGTCAGATATTAATTTGATACAAACACTCATTTTTATAAAAAATTAATTTTATTTAAAAGATAAAAACAGTAAAAATATATTTTTTTATAGTGCGTATTCTTGGACAAATGCATTCTGAAGAGTTCCACATTATAAAGAAAGTGTCGCTTATTGAAAAAACAATATTAATTAAGGTAGAAGAAGTATTATTGTTCGGGTAAATCTTTATAAATTATACTTGAAACATTTTTTACATGCAGAATTTACATAAGTTTTCGAGCGACAATCGATCCCAGAACAATCAATCTATGGGTCTAGAGTCAGCAGCTTTGATACTAGATCCAATTTTTATCGACTTTACAATTCAAATACAAGCCGTTATAAAATATGTAAGCTGTATCATTGTTACCATCATCTGCATCTATCACTATTTTACGAGCTGAATCAGTTTAAGTTTTCAAGTGTACTTTTATGCCATCACGTTGTTTTCTACTTCTAACATAACCATTTTTAATGAGAATTATTACAAATATTAAATAAATACGAAGCAGAGACATGTATGGATACAATATAAAATGATACAGATTCACCCCAAGCAACAATTTAATGTAAAAACCTATCACAATTTCGTGAAAATATACAATAAGAGAATGCCAGAATGGTTATAATTACAAAATTTAATATATCTCCTTTATTGTTGCGACGTTTTATACACAAATTGATTAAACAAAAAGGCACGTTCTATATAAGTTACAGCTACTACGATCTAATAGTTGCGCTGTAAAGTTCAATGCGTATTTTTAAGCAGTGCATACTCTTGAGTAGAGAACCTCTACTATTTTTGAGCGGACTTACCCGATGCTTTTTCACTTAGTAAATATTGATCTACGATAAAAAAGCATTCCACCTATCAAATTAAAAAATATAAGACGACCGGCATTTTGACGTGAGCGAATCATTAATCCTGCGATGTATTTTCTTTTTATTAGCGACACATTCCATCCCAGATATCACAACTTTATATATTGGTTACGAAAGAATTGCATTATACCGTGAGGTGGCACTGGTGGTGATTTATATCGTCGCCGAATCGCATTTTAAAAATCTAATGCGAGAAACACAGTGATTATGCAAATGTGCATTGTTGTACGTTACATGGTTAATTCAGCGTGAGCCGCAGATCCAGAAATCTTAATAGCTTTCTATATTGCTGATTCTGCTGACGCTATAATAGTAGTAGTTTCCTTCCTAGTTTATAATGCGTGTCCGCGGATACTTTTCACGTACTAATTTTCACGGCATACCGGAAGACTATTCGCTCGTGCCAAACGATAAGAGGGACGATGTAGAATTAATTAACCGTTAACTTAAACCTCGTTATATCGCGACAATGGTGCACATTGTTAAATAAAAACAGATACACCGCGCACTTTCCGTTCTTTTATGGCGATGAGAAGCATGCCGTTACGCTCTTTGCGTCTAAGTCAATTGCGATTTTCGGATTAAAGTTCCCCTTCGAATGACATTACAATTGTTCGCATCAAGAAAGGAATATGACTTGTGCGTAAGGAATATCATTTCATGCTTAACTTATTTTACAAATAAATATGAAAGCGAACAATCGCTTATGCGATTGGAATGTCAAATATATGTGATATCAGATAGTTTACACGAAAAAGTAGCAAGTAAATTAATAAAACTGTATTTAACACCAAAGTGATTGTTTCATCAGGAATGTTATGATAAATACAAAAACAACAACCGAGAATTTATGGCTATTTTAATTATCAGAATTGAATATGGCACAATAATGAAAATTGTGTGTACAATACGATTATACATACAAACATCTGCATTTGTGACATAGTTTTGAATGCTGTCAACATTAAAAATAACAATTTAACATAATTTACTAACATTTGATCCGACATATGCAACTTTAATTGTACGTATCTCACATTTTAAAATAAAGAAAGATATTAATATAATTTAATGTAATTAAAGTGTGTGAATTGGTTTTATGTAGGAAAACATTTTCAAACTTTCTACTGCGACAAACTAAAGAGAAATTATTGATTTGATCAAGCTATAAAATACCTGACTTAGCTCTGATAACATATTTTTATGGCGTATTTTTTTTATTTCGATACAAAATCTTTTTAAACTTATCTAAAATCGATTTTCAAAAATTTATTCTTATTTTACAAATCTACAAGTATCCTGTAATTATTTCCGGATTGTCAATAATTTTAAGTATTTGTTATTTGTAGCGCGTTGCTTGGATTGCAAGGAGCAGTATATAATTATTAGTGATTCCATGTCGAATAATTGTAACGTCAGTGCGATGTGTATCCGGAGCACCGGCATCTGCTTATATCCGATTATCATATCTCATTCAAAGTTTCACCGGTCTTGACGCGCTACCTCGTGAAAAGTTTCACCAGCTTCGGAGAGTGCGCTCTCTTTCTTACCTCTCCGAGCACAAAGACTGATACCCTCATAGATTTGTATGTACACTAAACTAATAATAAAGACGCTTCGCTCCGTTAAACGCTTATATTATATTTTCTTTCCCCGACCAAACCCAAATGCAAATCTCTTGACGTTTGTAGGCCGTGATAATTTCTTATTTCATGAAAGGTTTATTGAATACCTGCATGCTCATATATAGATTTATACACGTTTGAGAATGCACGACGTTGATATATGTATAATCGCTGCTGGTAAGAAGTTGATGTACTTATTTGTACAATGAGTTATTTAATTTTTTTCCGTCACGTGATTCTTATTTTCTAGTTTGTTCTTTGACATGTGTAGATACTTAATAAACATTTCTTAAAATTATATTTTTTTCTTTTATAAATACATTTTTTACAATAATTCAAAGATAAGAATTAAAAATTAAATAAATCGTAAAAAAATATAATGCTGTGCAAAGAATCAACACAATTAAAAATATGGATATTTTGAAAGCAGAAAAAAGTGTTTCTTTTAAGTACAGGACAGAAAATATGAAAAAAGTCATCGAAAAATTATATCAATGTTCTATAATCGATGTTCTCGCATCAAAAGCAGTAATTCTACGGCGAGATATAAAAGTAACAGCAGCGCCATATGAATGGACGTATAAACGCAATCACGAGTAAATTAGTTTGCTGGGTACGGTTTACTCCCGTGACATTCTTCTTTATCGCGATACAAGAAATGTCAGTTCCCACTCGAAGAGCACAATTACGCAGCGGAGGTAATCTGCGCCATACAGAGAAAGATAGAAGAGTGATGTATAGTAGGGAATTAATCATTAATGATGCATATGGGAATACCAGGATCTCACGTTGAAAGGCTCAATGTGATCAACGATGGAAAAATGGACGAACAAAGTCGAGCTTACCAAGCGATGTTTCTTACTGCAAATAATGTACATAGAATGGAGAGTGTATTTGAGACGCGAGGGGATAAAGTAACTTAACAACTTAATAGCTACTTCTCAATAACGGTGCTGCAAATACAATGCTATATCGATAAAGCACTATTGGTACTTTCTATTGTATTCATCCCGCCTGTCGACTTGCTGGCTCAGAGGCTGTTGTGCTTTTTGGGCTGCTGCGCGAGCATCTTCCTCCTAAAAAATAAACGTACCAAATTTTTATAAACTGTTTTTGTTCTCTCTAAATCTTTTAGAGTAAAAATTCAGCTAGTTTTGGAATAAAAGAGCAAAAAAGTTTCATTATTAAATAAGAGTGGCAGACTCAGAAAAGAGTTTCACTCTTTTTTGGAATAAGATTGCATTCTTTCGAAGTGAGATTCATTCCAAAAAATTTAGAGCGTTACTAATTGATATTATAAATTAGGTTCTATTAGTTTATCAATTAGTTTTTGAGATTAAAAAAAAATCATTTTTTCTGTTTCAGAAGTAATGTTAGTTTAACTAAATATATAGCGAAAAGTGTTAAACCTTTATTATCTATTATTGTCAAAGAATGTATAGGAATAACGCGATTCTTGGAACGCCATTACTTTTATCTTTATTTTGTTACAATAACGTAACGATTTGGTAATGACGTTGCAAATATTTTATGACAGTAACATACGGTAATCAATATCAGAATTGAAAGTCACTTATTACTAAAAAAAAATAAAAAAAAAAGAATAGTTCGTTATTCTTGTAACGCATCAATGCGTTACTTTTAATTGCAAGTATAACAAGTTATTCTTTTTCAATAAATAACGCATAGTGACTACTTTTCAAAAGTGACTTTTCTTAACGTTTAGTTAGTTACTGTTATAAAAATGCTATGTCATTATCAAATCATTATTATAAAAAATTACGGTAAAAGTTACATTGTGTTCCCATTCCTGCATTGTACGAGAGACGATCGTATCTTTAGAAAATTCTTTGTACCTTTATTTTAATATTATTTCCTTCATTCATTTCAAAATTTTATTCAATGATTTGTTATTCTTATACATATACAATAGATATAAATTTAAAACATGACCAACCAACTCGTTTGATACTTATAAAGCTAATTTAGCTAATTACTACAATTAATTATCACGATCTACGGCGCAGTTTTAATTAGATATCTCAACACGGATTTGTCAATAGCTTTTTACGATGCGTAGATAAAAATGTAGTTTTCGACAAGATAAGGAAAAGAACCAGTAGCTATTACCGACATAATGATTAACGAAAGTCAAAAGAAAACAGCATGCGAGTAACTTTTTCCCTCGCTTTGCGCAGGTCATTCATACCATATAGCGGTCTTTAACCTTTGCATCGATATGGATCGCATGATTTCGCAAGTATACGCTCGTAACGTAGATAACTGAATGGCTTCGCAAACCCTGCTTGGAAACCGTGACCTATGCTAGCTGTGACGAAACAGAAGTTCTTCCCATAAGATCGCGGAGAATGTTTTCCATAAAGGTGAACATGAACACGAACAGAAGTGATAAGAAGAGAGACAACAGAGAAGGAGAATAAGTGGGGACAGAAAACTGTGAATGGATTTTAACTGCAATGAAGTAGTAACATTTTACATATACATGTACGATTACTCACAATCAGTCACGTAAATCTTGAATGAATCTGCTCTTTTAATACTTTTATATCTAATAACATCATATAACTCTCTAAGTGTTTATTTAATCGAATTTAAATGTTAATGTCACTTATAAAATTCTTGTTATTAGAGATTATTTATTTTGATAATTCACTCAAAGTAATACTGTTGCGATATTAATACTTTTCTAATTTTACCACAACAAGCAATAATTCATACATTGCTATACTTGTAATAGATTAAATATATTTTCGAGTAACCTTCATACATCCTTTACCTTAGACTAGTATTTTGCAAATAAAATCACTTTGTTAAGAAATTTTATAGAATTAAATGGTACGACTTCTATAAAAATAATCGCAGATAGAAAATAATAGGGGACGGAAACGAAAAGGTCATGAGTATACTTACTTCTTGCTGACGAATACCCGCGTAGATGAGGTCGAGGCCTTTCTGAATCTCCTCGCTAACAGGCGGTGGCGTGGGAATATGATCGCCCTGCGCGTGAAAGCCGGTCTCGTCGGCGGTATAGTGAATGGTGATCAGCTGTCCCTCGGGACTCGTGTACGAGAAGGTGCCTTGCTGCACGATTGCCTCCGCCCGGTCTTCACCTTCGCCGATAGTTTTGATGTAGCCACTTTCCTCAGCAATGATATTGTTGCCCGTTTCGTAACTGCGGGATTCAAATCACCCAGAGGTGTTAAATAATCGATTACGCAAAACGGACGATCCAGAAAGCCAATAAGTCCGCGTTACGTAACGTTAAAATGCACGCTGGCAAAGTTCGCATGGATTCAAGGCATCAGGTAATGTCGACGTCTGATAAATAATTGCGTCAACTTTCGAGGCCGATTACGTGGAACTCGCATAACCAAGATTTCAGAGAACAACATTTCGTAGAGCATAAGATAAAAGATGTTAGATCATTAGTGAAATTTTTATGCACACATGATGATGTAAGAACAAGATTAAAGAAATGCTTTTTTTTATATTTGAAATATTATATGTGCACATATAATATTATTATTAATATTAGTCGTTTTTAAAAAATTTTTACCAAAAGTATAGTTGGCGTTATCATTATAATAAATTAATAACTTAAGAAGTTATCTTTCTTTTCTGAGCTATATAAATATATTTATATGTAATTACCCTATCTTATAAGTTCCATCGTGTTCCTGCTGTTTGTTCCAGTGCAAGATTGGGATGGGTGTGGTGCTTGTAGGTCGTCTATTGTCAGCTTGATGTTGTTCATCATTCTGCTGGTAGTTGCGTCCATGGTAATTTTGATCTTGCGCCACTGCCAATCCCAGAATCATCGCTAACGCCTAGAAAAATTATAAATGTTAGTTTTCTTGATTAACGAGAGAGTGCATGATTAATTAAAATATATATCAGGAAAAAATGTTTCTTTCAAATTGTCATCATAAAACGCATGTATGTACGTCATAAGATTCAGATTACATTAATTAATCTCTTTTCGGCATTTTAAGATTGGGGATACTTTCTAGCAAGAGACACAGATGACACAGTATAACACAGTAAATCATATTATCTTTGTTGTTTGCCAATGTTAAATACAAATGATTACTGTGTTAAACTGTGTCTCTTGCTGGAAAGCACCGTAGCTCATCGGGTAAAATGATCGATGAGGGTAGATGCGAATGAGTGTAATGCGAAAATTTCAAAGTGGATTTATCGGTTTCTCTACTACGAAATCGGGCGATGCGCTCTCAGGAGATGAGTGAAAGTGAGAAGCAAATGCCAACGCGGGTCATTTAACTCCTGACCCGCAAATACGTACAGTTGAGCCCGTCCCATTTCATCCCAACCTATCGTGATCCCCTTCTACATTATTCTTTGATGTCGCGTTGCTTGTCCCGTTGCGATCTTGGTCGTTTATTAATTGAATTATAGATTTATTTTGATAAAAGAGAGAGAGAGAGAGAGAGAGAGAGAGAGAGAGAGAGAGAAAACTATTAAAAAGTTCTATTAAATTATTAATGATAACTATTTCATGAACTATTTCATGATCGATTAAATGATTAATCGTAAAGCTTAATAAATTTTCAAAGGTGGACAAAAAAAGTAATTTTAATCTTAATATGTATTAGTAATATGCTTAGTATTATTAAAAAAAATTTTTGAATTAAGAAAACAGTATCGTAAATGAATGTGTTTAAATGTTTGAGAAAGTACTTCTAAAAAACGACGTATGAACTCATATCAGCCTCTGAATTATGTAAAACTTCTGCAGGATTTTAATCCCACGCAATTCTTGTTTCGTCATATCAACAGTACATCTCATACATATAAATTAATGAATGCAGATTGTCGTAATGTATCAATATAACAATGGCGACTTTTTAAAATTCTATAAGGATCACGTTTTTCGTTAATATGTTAAATAATTTTTCTAATTGAATTAAATTATTTTTTAATTTTTTAACTTCTGAAATTTAATCAAGTTTAATAAATATAAATACATAAATAAATTAAAAATAATAGACGTAATAGAGCTACGAGCCAAATGATATATTTTTAAACAGAGATAAACATACATATGACTATAATAAAATTATCAAGCAGACATTATAAACAAATATTTAAATAAGCAAAATTAAAAATAATTATAAACAATAGAACAGACGTTTCGACTTTGCTTGGGTCATTTTCAATGTACATTGAAATGCACAGTCAAAACGTCTGTTTTATTGTATATAATTGTTTTTAATCTTGCTTATTTAACTATTTGTTTATAATGTCCGTTTGATAATCTTATTATACTCATACGTATGTTTGTCTCTGTTTACAAAATATATCATTTGGCTCGTGTAGCCCTATTATATCTATTATTTTTAATTTATTGAATCATACTCTTTATATTACATAAATAAATAATAATAAAAAATAAATACATTTCTAAAAAAAACCATAATTTATTATTATTCTCACACAATTACTATTAATTTTATTTTAAACCAAATGCATTATTTTTTTTTAAATTACAATTAGAAAGATACAAAAAATATTAAATAAGATATTAAAATACGGATAATATTATTTAATACCAATTAAATCAATTTTCACACGAATTTTTTGCGATGCGACAAATATACAATACAGTCGAGAACAGACGAATTTATTTTTTCAATCCTAAAGAGACAATCGTATCGCGCTTAATTGACGTTTCGGAAGATCTTCCGCGGTTACTTACCACGTATTTCATCCTGACTTGAAAGACGTGTACCTCTTCAATAAGACAGATCAACGTGAATGTGCGACAGAAGTATAGTAGTAAACGCAGGGAGATAGTCGCAAACGAACGAGATCGACTGCGATCCCAAGAGAGGAAAGAAATCCCCTTTTATACTAACTCTCACTTTATCCCTACTCGAGAAGACGATGGGCTTCGAAAGATGCTTCGTATGCTTTATGGCAAAGAACCTACATATTTATCGGAGTAAGCGCATGTGTGGGATAGTATCTTCCTTCGTATTAAGCGTTTGTGTTCGAGACCTACCTGATGTTCCGATACCAAGAAGCGTCTTGATCCGATTATGACATTACCATATATGACTTTAGTCTTGAAACCTATCACTCTGCTTTCGATAGCTTTCTATAATTACTATTGTTTGCAAAAACTTGTCGCGCGCGTTCTTGATTTATAATATGTATAATAAAATTAATTAAATCAAGTTAAATGAAATAATAAATGAATGAATATATTCGCATTGCCTCTCATGATCTCAAGTGTTATTTTATTGTAAACGTAACAATAAATTATATTCATTAATGTTTTTGACATTGAATCACGAGTGAAGTGTTCCATAAATTCAATTACTTTTTCACGAAGAATATTGCAGGTGGTTCAATACTTTCATATCGCTTCACAGTCACACCCCTATTTGGGTCCATGTATTTCATAGTTTTATGGATTATAAGATTAGCAAAACAATGGGTAAGGGACATATCCTAATATACATACTTATATGCATCAGAATGCGCATAATAATGCCATCGCAACAACCCACGATTAATAGCTAGGGACGATTGCGCTTTCAATTAGCGTAATACGTTTGTTCTTGCGCGGCCTTCGGTTTATTCCCGTTTTTCTTCTTTCAACTTTGTTAAGAAAATTAAAACGATGCAGCTTTTGCGATTTAAATAATAATTATGTTTTCGCATAGAAATTGTAAATAACGATGAGAGAGAGTGGTTAAAAATTAATAAAACTAACATTTTTGGAAGTGTTTTTAGTTCTAACAATTGCACATGAATCTGTGCGCGTGCGACAATTCATTTACGTATTAGAAAATAATTTATGTATTAGAAAATAATTAACATCAAACATTTCACTTCAGTATTTAATTAATCAAGATTTTGCTGCGGAGATGAAAATTAGCGAAAGTAGAGCCAGTTACATTAGTCACGTGCATAAATTAATAATTGGGAGAGTAAGCCATCCAATCCGAAAAATCGTATGCGTAATATTATACGTTATCTAAATTTTACACTACGCAATTCTTGCGCAAGTAATTTCTTAATAAAATAATTTAATCATCTATAGTAGGATTAGTGTACCTTTTCTGTATTCTATTGTTCGAAGGCGTGTAAGGAAGACATCCCGGGATTATTACGTAAACAAATAGATATGCTAAGTACTTTCACGTAGAGTCGGTAAGGAGCCATTGACTTCCGATGCGACATAAAATTTGTATTCTTATTATACATCTAGAGGTATATATTATGTATGTTTAGTCGAATATACATACGTAGGTTGATGCTATAACACTACTTTTCGCGCGTAAAACTTAATGAGCTTGTCTCGCACGTAAAGCCCAATCTACAATTGCGTAAACATAATTGTAAGTTATTGTAATGGTAAGAATTGACCAATCACAGTTAAATACGAAGAGAATATCTGACTGCGAGTAGTGAATTCTTACAACTACGACAACTGCATTTACTCAATTGTAGATCGAACTTAAGATACCATTACAGATAAATCGATTATTGATTATCACATAATGTTAACTGGTGTAATCGTTGCACATAATATTTAACGTCAGTTATGTTAGTGATAATTGCCGTTATACTTAAAGGAAAACTGTCTGTGTTACCGATAAAACTAGCGTTTCTGACGTTTTTCTGATGTTCCTGTACAATTTCTTCGTAATAGTTTCACAGAATAAAAATTTCTTTTCCACGATTAAAATATACATGTTAATGTATCTGCTTCTAGTGTACTTTATTCATTTTACCTATGGTGACCAACGCCGAAGGTAAAAATGGATAAAGAAATCTGTAATTTTTTATTCTTTTTAGCTGGACATAAAGTACACCAGAGGCAGGTATATACATTAGCATATATCATATATTTTAATCGTAGAAAAAGAATTTTTATTTTAGATATTATTATTACGAAGAAATTAGATAGGAACGAAAACGTCAAAAATGCTAATTTTATCACTAATACGACTCTAGCATCCTCTTAATAAGGTATATATACTGGTGAAAAAATTATTCCACGTTTTGAAATATTTCAGTAAAATTGCTGATTTGATGAAATTTCACTGAAAGTGAATTTTTCACCTAACATATTTAAAAAATCACTAAAATTGAATTGAAATTTCTTTGAAATTTTACTGAAAATGATTTTGTCAGCGAAAAAAATTAAATTCAACTTTTTCTGAAATACTAACATTTTGCTGAAAAGTGTGTTATGTGGAATAATTTTAGCAAAATTTTTTGTTCAGATTAACTGTACTTTATTGTGTAATTATTGCTTCATTGTACCAGTAAAGAAAAACGGTTTTATCAGGAGACACGGTAGTGTCTCTCACTGAGACCGCGCGACATATACATATATACTTCCTGGCTATAATGTAATTACGATAAGAGGCGCAAAATTATGAAATTGCTTTAACCGTTTACTGATCTTTCACGTGGATTAATGCAGTATTGAAAAGTCATGATACACAAGGACATTTTATTATGTATATACAATATACATTGTCAGAACATCACAAACGCTTGCATCTACGACTTGCGTGACTTCAGCAAAATATTTGTAAAAGGAAGATAAATTTATATATGTTCAGATATTAAAATTATTATCACTTCATACACACCTTACCTCTCTGTTCATAATGCGGGGCAAGGTTGCTGTGACGGCACTAAAATGTAATAATAATGTTGCACATATCACCGTATCATTCGTTATAAAAAAATAACATTTAGATGAAGAATTTTTGAAAGACTTACTTTCGTAGGCGTTAACAGAGGAGTAAGAAGCGGAACAAGAAGACAGGGGGACGAGTACTCCAGGTGGGATGTAACTGTCATATTAATACATAATTTGTTATATTAATACATAAGATATTAATACATAAATTGTAAAATTCTAAATTTATAAGATACGTATAAATATACAGCATGAATAGTGCAGAGATTCTAAATCGCTAAATAATCGAATAAGGAGCGAGGCTCGTACCTGAGATTGTATGTGGTATTGTCCTCCATGGGATTGACAGGTGAATAATAGGACGGAGCCGCAGCCCATGGTTTGTCGATCTGATTCGTTGGCTCCACCGGCTGATAACTCAATCGCATTGTGGTCTCGGATTCCATCGCAACGTCGGACGGCTGATACTTACATATAGGCGCGTACGATTTAATAGGCAGTAGACATTCATGATCATTCGGTATATAAGATAATCTATGAGTTGTGCAGGCTGTAATGATTATATGTTAATAATTAAAAAAATCACAAACAAAAGTAGTTGAACAATGTCTACAATTTCTTCTTTTAAAGAAAAAATAGCACGCTTTTTCGTCTTTGATGAAGAAGAAATAGTACCTTCTCCGAACGATAAATTATAAATACGATTATAAAATGTCAGTAGATACATAAATTACTGCAATTATTTTACATATGGTTCAACACTCACATTCCAGCGGCAAGGACGAGAAAGTTAGATTGTTTTCGGGTCGAACCTCAGTCGGTGGCATCACGCGCTTCCAAGTGTAATCGTGCTTTTGCGTAGTCTCATCTTGCATCGGTCCTCTGCCTAACAATTGTTTGTCGCAAGGTGTGATAGACGTTTCCGGTTTGAAGCACCAATTGCCTAGAAAACTCAACTGCAACGATACAAGATTAATGAAATTTCGAGTTTTCAAAAGTTCAAATTTTTTAATTGTAAAAATTTCTGTAATTATATAATAACAATTAATAGTCTCGTCTCAAACATGGTCCGATGTTGAAACGATGAAGTCGGTAATGTTCTCGATTTTTAAGAGAATAACCATTGTTATCTCAATTCACTGCAGTATGGTAGCGTTATGACTTGAAAGACAATGCATCAATTATTGGGCAATTTAAGAAAATTATCCCGTAATCGTCGCATAATACATTTGAGAATGTAACTATCGACTCGAATTAGTGTATCATCCTCGAATCAAATTCACCGTGAAAGTAGAATTCAGCGTTCGCTTACCCGATTGACGGTATCATGGGAGAGTGGGCACGGAGAGAAAATCATATTGCCAGGCTGGCGAATGGGATCCGGCGGCTTGTCACCGTCACATCCGAAATAACTGAGTCGGTACGTGGTATTGTCGTCAAAGCAGCAGCCGGCGTTCAACAAGTTTTCGTTCTCGTCACGACTAAAAGGTTCCGGTGGTTTCTCGTCACAGTGGGGCCAGTAACTTAGTTTGTAGGTTGTGCATCCATCCATCGGCGTCACTGGGCGATGATACTCTCCCTTTTGTCTATACGACTCGTCCTAAGAAAGCAAATAATTATTTATTTATTTGTATTTAATATTTGTGAGTAATAAATATTTATATAAAAAAGAAGAAATCTTTTTACTTAAGTCAATAAATTACTAATATGATTTATACTAAATAGAGTAAAAAATGCTTGAAAAATTCGTTAAAATACAATAATATTTAAAAAAATATAAAATTTTATATTTGAAATAATATTAAAATAAATTTTAAAAAATTATATTAAACGTTAAATCTCATAGGACCGTACATGTGAGAACATAATCAGTAGGAAAATAATGCCTTTAATGATCTAGCTGTATCTTATGTAGTCCTTAAACTGCGAACCAAAACGATTTTTCAGTCTCGAAACGTCAACTCTACTAAACTACCGCAGTAATATTACGAGTTAAATTGATTAGCAATTTAACAATTCAATGTTCTTTGCTGATCTTAGAATAATCTTAATAATTTTTTTCAATAAATTTATTTACAGTTTTTCATCACATTAATATCTTCCTAATAGGATACCTAATTACACATCAAACTATTAAATTATTTGTACTTCGAATTGTGTTTTAAGAATGAAAATAATTTCGACCCGCAGTTTAAAAAGTGTAGTACATAAATTTACACAGAATTATTTCAGCATTAAAAATCTAGTTTGACCGTTTAGGATCTTTATTGCCTAATTGTTGTATGTGATCTTAATATTGAATGACATTAAAGTCTATAAATAATTCTTATTACAAAAAATATTGTTTCAGAAATATTGTTTTCCAAAAACTCACTTTTAAAGGAGTCTCGTTTGGCCAGTAGCTAAGTTTATATGTTGTACAACCTTCCATCGGTGTATCTGATTTAACATATTTTCTAACGGGCGCAAAAGATTGTACCGGAAGTAAGCAGGAGGAATTATAGTAGCTCAAGCGATATGTCGTATCATCTGTCTCAAAATAGTATTATTAATTGATTAAATAATTTTGTGCATTTTCTTCCTTTTCTTCTCCTTTTTTACGTTAGGCCTCTGGCCTGTGTTACACTCTCTCATATGCTTGTAGTGTGCAACGTTGATTATTCAATTGCCACAAGCATATGGAACCTATAATTTTAATGCCGATTGTGAACAGCGAATTTTTCGGTAAGTGTTTCTGTGAGCAAGGATACTTTCGGAAGATTGCCGATCTTTTTTGATAGAAGACATGAGCGTAAATATTTTGGTTTCTATATCAGAATCAAATCTAGAGCTTTTGATGATATGATAGACCAGCGCGCTATCTGCCATGCAACGCTCGTATTCTGATTTGTATGTATTTAGTTTCATAATTAAAATTACAGTAATTAGATATTCTTATCTAGCAACGAGAGAATTAAAATTACAGTAAATAAATATTTTTATCTAGCAATTAGGATTACCGGATAAAGCAGAACATGGAGGATATAAATTATTTTCCGCCTTGATAACCTCAGGACGCGTCGTGCTTTTCCATGAATAATCACGTTTATGCGTCGTGACGTCTTCCATCGGACCTCTACCCAGCCACTGTCTATCACAGGGTGTTATTGGAGGATCTGTTTTTACGCACCAATTGCCAAAATAGCTCATCTGAAAGAGCAATTATATTCCAATCAACGAGTTGTTTTAAAAATAAATTGTTCATCATACTTTATGCGTCGTTTCATCAGACATTGGTGTGTCACCGCATGTTAGATTATCTTCAGGACGAATGGGTTCAACAGTAGTGCTAGGCCCTTCCCAGTAAGAAAGACGATACATTGTATCTTTATCCATCGGTACATTTGATTTCCAGTAATACTAAAAAGGAAATTATAATGTATACACTTTAACAGCAACAAATAAAAAAATATAATTCTTCATAATTAACTTTATAATTAATTTCATTGTAATATACATTAATTAAAAAATTATAATAAGTATTAGAATATTCTTCATCAAATTTATTACATGTTCAATTTATTACATCTACTTACATGAATAGGTGCGAAAGATTTTGGTATTTCCGGCTGGACATATTTCTGTAAAAATTTTTTATTCTCTTTAATTTAAATAAATAAATACATTCAACAGCAATAAATAAATAAATATGTAAACATAAGTAAACATTAAAATATGTCACTCACGTAACATGTAGATTGCGGTAAACAACAGCAGCAGCAATTGCAACATTCATCGTGGCCCAGCTAAAATGTACTAATATTTTAGAAAAAGCGGACATAAATCAGGAAATATAAGTAAAACGTCAAATATAATTGTGTTGAACAATCTTTTCGTTTTAAATATCATCAAAGCTTACCCGAAGTTTATTTTTTGCCTCGATAATCGATTGTTGCGGCATTGGTTTAAGCCTACAGTATAATAAATAAATTTATTTATTTTAAAAAGACACGTATGAAGTCTAAATACAAAAAAATATGCTTAATATCAAGACCAAATGTCAACAAGTTATATTGCGATGTTAACTCACGGTTCAGAGGGACAGATTTCCATGATTCTTGAAACAGTTTGTGTCGATGCCAATATCTCACTTCGAATATCACAAATATATAGTAAGAAAAAAATTTAGTTAAATATAATTTTTAAACGTTTTAATCATAATTTTTAAACCTTTTATATATAGTAAAAAAAAGTGAAATGTCTGAGTTGAGTGATGTTATTCATTATTACTTCGAGATATTAATCGATATACTATTTAATTTATAAAGAACAGATAAATTCGCTTTATTAAAATTAGTTTCTGTTTAACTTACTTACATTTTAGACAAACGAAATTAAAATTGTTTTAAAAAATAAAGAACCTATGCCAAATATATAAATAAAATGCAAATATTACAAATATTCTTTGTAAAATAAAAAATGTTAATTTTTTTTTAAATAAATGATTTAAATATATTTATAATTATTTAAAAAATTAACCATTAAAACACGGATATGAAATAAATGTATAAATAGCTAAATGTCTCATTAGTGAAAAAAAAACTAATAAGTTACTAAACTTGAAAAACTTAATTGTAAAAAAATCTATTAATTTTAACAAGAGAGAGAAGATTTATATTAAAGATCCTCACTGATTTCAATAAAACTTGATAGAATTATAGCATGTGTTTCCCTATATAATTATATGGACGTGGACCATTAACTATTTCTGAGATATTTTGATATTAAATTTGGTAGCAGCAGTTCCTTTTTGATAGCAGCAGTTCCTAATGCAGCCCTCTGATTGGTTTGTGACATCTCAAGACAGAACTTAAAATTGTCTTGATTATAACAACTAACTATGAATACTGGTCTTCGAATACAATTTTCTTGGTAGAGGGATGTAATTGTATATCTTGCTTCGTGCGGAAATTCGTACATCCCTAAGTAGGAGGTAAATGGAGTGAACTTCGTTTCGCGTAGAAAGTTATGCGCCCCTAAGTAGGGGGAAGGGGAGGGATGAAAGTCTTGCGTAGAAAATCGTACGCTCGGAAACAGGAGAAAGGTGGAGTAAAAGTCGCTTCGCGTGGAAAGTCATATGCGCCCCTAAGCAGGAAAAGAGATGTGGATCTTATTTCACGTGTTATATGATATGGAAAACTATATGTACATATTCATAGGTAGGAAGGAATGTAAGGTGGATTTTGCTTTGAACAAAATGTTACAAAATCACAAATTTTCTGCTTTAAAACAAAAATTATATAAGAAAATAATGTTTTTATGAAAATTTTTGTTTTTAAAATAAAAGAAAATTTATTTTAAAGCAGAGAAGTCTTGTTTTATATAGCAGAACTTATTTTATTAATAACTTCTAAACGAATAACGAGCACGGGTTAAAACCTTTCGTATAGATCATTCAGGACCATGACCTTGACAATATATGTCAAGGTTAAGGTAATCGGAAGTGATTTTGTTATTTTAAAGGTTTACTAAAAATATATAACAATATATGTAAAAAAACTCATTCAGAATTTATTAATTAAATTGTACAATTGCTACCTTGCCCTGAATCATGTAAAAAAACCAAATAAACAGTACGTATACTTTATTAGTAAGAAATCAGCCATTGTGATTTAGTTATATAAGAATTATATGATTCATTAAAAAACGCTAAAACGAATGATTAAACGCGAGAATAAACCTTAATATCTAACTTAGCCTAATTTGATTTAAGCGCGCACGATTTATAGATATTGTGTTAGGTACTTAATTATTCCATTCGAAGTGATGCGAAGAATTATTAGTTTTTTGCTTCGAGATACATATATATGTATATACACAATACATATTGATACGCTACTCAAAAGGTACCTATAAAAATAATATAATGAGAAAACTGATATAAACTGAACGGATTCAAGTTAGCGTAAGACCAAATCGTTGCGTTATTTCCGGAGAATGAGTGGTTGCGACCGCGAGTAAAAGTGGTATGTCCGCTGCATCGAGATCAAGAGCATTCATCAAACTATCCACATTGGCATCGGATTCTTCCATAGACATCATCATTTCTGCCAAAGCTTCGCTTCTTAACCATAATTCCTTCAATTTAGCCTCCAAAATCGCTATGCACTAAAAGCATTAGTTTGACAGAGATTTACTTATATAAAAAATAATTTACGAAGAAAAAAATTTGTTTAGAAAAAAGAGAGAGAGGAGGGCAGAGAGAGAGAGAGAGAGAGAGAGAGAGAGAGAGAGAGAGAGAGAGAGAGAGAGAGAGAGATTTAAATTGAATTAAGATGACAAAAAACTCACATGGATAGGAGAGTGATATTTTCGCCATACATAGGCAAAGGATTCCAGCATATTTGACACCAGACGTGACATTCCGACCGGTAGTGGAGGACTTTGCCAAGGTGCATTATTCGACAAGATTCCGACGTGCCACGTGTCCAGATCGGCTAATACGCAGAGTGCTTCTGCAACCGGTTGGTCGATCGTGGGAAATCGAGCGTTGGCCATAACTTCTTCCCGCATACATGACCACCAGTTCTCTTCGGATTCAATTTCGGAGTTGTCCTTCTCATCTTCTGATAGATTCTTCCTTTTTCTCCTCTTCTTTTTTTTAGTTATACCTTGTAGCACCAAACCCCACGTATAACCTGTACCTAGGATATTAGTTTTATCATTTATTGTCTTACTTCGCATGAGAGTTTTCGTAAAGCCCATTTCTCTAATTAATCCAGTTTTGACCTGTGAAATTTTCCTCGATCTGCAACAAAAAATAATCATTATTAAATCATTTTAAATTTAAGCGAGAAAATGAAGACAAAAATAAAAAAGGAACAAAATTATTTCAATATAAAATAATCTCCTAAGTGATAGAATTAAGATAGAAGACTAATCCTATTTTGTATTTTAATTCTATTATAGTTAATTCAAACTAATTGTATCTGAAATTCAAAGATCTAGAATTATAAGTAAATTTTTAATTCAATAACCTTATTACAATAAAATTAATGAAAATGAAGATTTTATTTTTATGAATATATTATAATATATTTCAACAATATACTGACTGTGGCATTGGCAACTCCACAACACTGTTGGCTTCCATCAGAGCCTCAAGGCTGTTGGATCGCGACAGTCTCATGGTTCTGCTACCTTCAGAGCTTCCGCACGTGCGTAATACTTCCGTCGCATTCGTCGGCGTTTCCAACACTTGCTTGCTGCTATCATAATCCTTCGAGGCAGCGTATCCTTGACCATTGCACTTCAAACAAAAGCCTATTGACCTCGCCCCCATACTGGATGTTGCTTCCGAAGGAGGCTGCATGCTCTTCGACGATTCGGGGAAGTTTCGCTGGATAATCTTCCTCAAGACGCCCTCCGGAAGTTGCGCAGATGTACTAGGTAGTCTTGTAAAGGTGTAAGAACACTGACAATTGTTGCTGAGATGTGATCTTAACGGTAACTTTGCGGGCTTGTCTTCCCCACCGAGGGTGAAGAATACCTGCGATTCCTTAAATTCGTCAACAAATCCACCGTTCATGTCAAGCGACAATTCGGGTCTACTGTAAAACATTTTCAGTGGATTTACATTATTATTCAGCTGATGCTGTAGCTCAGTCTTTCCAGTCGCGAGACTCTCTTCAGTATCGTGCATACCCAACTTCTTCTCGAAACTTCGCAAAGGAAACTGTAGAAAATCTTGCGGTTGATATCCCTTTGTCGTGATATTCTCCTGTGATTCGATATCGCTAACAATTATTTTCACCTCGTTTGACATTTTGAAATTTTTCTCGATGTCCTTAGATCGATCCTCCTGTATCAGCTCGTATTTCTCACTCTTCTGATTTTCACGTAATAAAAATTCCTTCGTTAGCAACTTAAGGTCTAGCAGAGTATCAGTTGATTTCATCATGAGCGTGTCAAGGCCGGATTTCATAGTGGCGCTACGCTTCAGGGGACTGACCGATCGCGAGAGCCTAGGTCGTTCCGCAGGATACTTTGGAGTGCATTGTGCGTTAATATCGTCAGTTCCGGTTTCGGACGATTGTGTCGACTTGCGCGATGATAGAATGCGCGACTCACACCTGCGAATCGAGGAGTTTCGATCGTTGAACGCGCACGTCGATCTCTTGTTACTAAACAGATACGGTCGTTTGTTGCGAGCCTCTTCCAACATGTTTGTTGCTATCTGCACATCTTGTTGCGACGTGCAGCGGTATTCCTGGTATTTTTGTATTGTCCCACTGCGGATAAAATAAGATAGGAACGATAAAACGGAGTTAATCAAATCACTCTTTCGAGGATCGCCCGCAATTACGGTATGCGCTACTTTCACAGGGTTGCCTAGTGCGCCATACAGGTCACCAAGTTGTGCCCACAATGGATTGCAAGAATACCAACTACCTAATTTTTCGATCTGAAAATAGAGATAAATTATCACAACGATATTAATAAATTCTCGTATGGAATAAATAATATTAATAACTAGTATTAACATATATATGTAATATTAAGAGTCAATAAGAGTCAGAGTGGAGCGTTTTTCTTAGAAAAAAAGGATAAAATATATAAAAAATTTATTTTGATGTCTCACTCGATTTGCATTATAGTGCAGTTGAGAGAGAGAGAGAGAGAGAGAGAGAGAGAGAGAGAGAGAGAAGTGCAGATAATTTTATATTTATTATGTTTTAAGGAAACCGGATTACAAAGTCCAGCTCTATGAATCTTCGTAGCTTCATAAAAAGAGAAACCAAAAAGATCTCATGGCGAAATATTGTTTCTACGAGATAAAATATGGTATTTTGTATATTTGCACCGTAAAGAGCAGATTGTTTTATTTATTATACTATTTTTAAAAGCGAAGTTGCAAGATCCGTCCCTTTAGGAGATTTCACAGTTTTATAAAACATTGATTAGAATAACTTTCATGGCAAAGTATTTTTTTTACCATAGACAGAATGCAGATATAAATGATTCGAGTTTTCTCATTATTCAATTAACACATTATGTGTATTAATTTTAAAAATTAATATATTAATTATATCTATAACATCAATTTATTCGGTTTTTATTCCTAATATGCTTCATATGCTGTTATATATGTAAAAATATGTGTTAAAAGATTTTAACTTTATTCTACTCCAATAAATGTATAAACACTTTAATCCGATATA